TTCCTCAAGATTTGGTGAGTCAGGGTTGATTCCTGGAATCAGATCCAGCCCTGACTCACCAGCCCTGGTTTCCTACCCAGGCGGTCAGGGTGCATTGCCAGGCCAAGCTGCCGTGTCTACAGTTGAAGGAACTTTTCCTCCCTGCCACTCCTTTTTCGCCCCCTTTCTTTGTTTCTTTCTTTTGTAAGCTTTGTAACTGCAGAGAGCTGATGGAGCAGGAAGGACAATTTCATCACCTGGCTCACCAGTGCTCTTAACACATGGATGAATGGATGGGTTATAGCGCATAGCTCAATTGATTGATGACACGTGGCTGTGTGAACGCATGAGTGACTGGATAGTGGATAGCTGGGTGGACACATGGGTGCTGGCTGGCTGGATGCGATATAAAGATAGCTGTGGTAAGTACTTCCTCAGTAACTCCTGAGTTTTCTGCCTTCTTGTCCTAGTATTGTTTCTCCCCTTGCTAGAACGATAGGGAGCTGGACCAGAATGACCACGTGCATCACTCCACTTTCTGTTGTTAATATCTTTTCATCAACTGTGTAAGTCACAAACAGAGGAGGCTTATTTTGGATCACAGTTGTGGTCCCATGTCAGGGGCCACCTCTGTGATACTTTCTTGCTGGGAAAAATCCCAAATGATACAAGGCTTCCTACAGCCAGAGACAAGGAGCCTGTGTGTCCCCTGGTCTCTCCCTCTCTCTTGTAAGTCCACCAAGATTCATTCACAAGGGCTCTACCCTGGTGAATCTTGTCTCAGTCTAATCATCTCCCAAGCACCCCACGTCCCTCCCCCACCCCCCCAACAAAATTGGATTAACTGGCATTGAAACTGGGTTGAGTTTCCATCATCGAAATAGTTCACAACGGGGAAGTTGAGTGTGAGTCTCAGGTGACAGGTACCCATACTCAGACCACAGCACCATCCTGTCCCTTTGCCCAGCACTATCTCACTGGCTCCTGCTATTGCAACTGAATGCTCATGGGCACCTCTTTCATGTTCCACAATGTCCTAGTTTGGGGAGTGATGTCTGTGTGTACACAGAGGACTGGGGACTTAGAAAGGCAGCACAAAGCTGGTAGGGCTATGTTCTGCGCTTTTCCTCAGGCCATGGGGAGAGGAAACACCTCACACAGATGCCTAGGTAAGACCCCAAGCAGGTGGACCCAGAACTGCCTTCTCATCACCCCTCTGGAAGCAGGGCTAAGTTCTGGGCCCACCCTCATTGCCATCATGGGGCCCTAGCCATGGAGCAGGGATGCTGGCAAAGGCCATGTAGAATGATCCACCCGAGAGGTTCCCCTGAGAGGCTCTTGCTCTCCCCAGCTGCCTTCCACGGAAAGTGGAAGTGATTGAGAGAGCCAAGTGCACAAGACAAGGGGAACAGAAAGACCATGTGGTCCCTGTGGCCAGGGTGTGAGCAGGGGCCCTGGTCAGCAGGACAGGGTGAATCAGATCACTCCATTTGGCAAGATGCAGGAATACTACAAAGGCCCCACAAGCCTCTGCGGACCTTTCCCAGCCCTTGTCCACCACCAGGAGAAAGGGAGAATAGGTAGAAGGCTAAATCCTGGGAACAAGTTAAGTTTTAAATGCTGAGTCACCACTGGCAGCTTTCTTGGCTTTCTGTGCTAAACACGATGTAACTCTCGCTGGTTTGTCACTCCTGCAACCTGCGTAGCGGCTTACCCAGGGGAAACTGAGGCCTCCTGTTGCCTACTAGAGAGGAGCGATCTTGAGCACAGGACCTCAGCACAGCCAAGTTTTCAGATGGCAGCAGCTGCATCTGATGGCTCCACACTGTGGGTTGGCGAGCCCCCTAGAACCACCCAGCCAACTGTGCCCATCTTCCCAAGGGCAAGGTGATAGGTGTTTGTAGTTTGATGCCAGTTTAAATTTTGGGCAAATGTGTTATATAGCAACAGATGGTACCTATGCATGTATTACACACACAGAGAATTCCTAAATATTATTAGGCTTCGTGGGTGATAAGACATGGGCATTCCAAATGTTTTACCCAGTTGTGCCAGTTTGTACTCTGACCAGACAGATGAGGCTGCTAGCCAGGCACCTGCCGATACTTAGTGTCCCTTTTTCTCCCTCTTAATTAGAGAGACAGACACAGAGTTCCCATCACTGGTTCTCTCCTAAATGCCTACATTGACTGAGTCTGGGCCAAGGCCAGAGCGAAGAATCAGGACCAGAATTGGTCTCACCTGGATGACCTGAGTCACCACTGCTTGCCTCCCACGGTCTGCATTCTCAGGAAGCCGGAACCACACGCCAGAGATTGGAATTGAACCGAGGTCCTACGAGGTGGGAGTCAGCTGTCCTAGCCACTAGGTGAAATGTCCTCTCCTCTTTTCTGGTTTTCAATAGAACACTACACCAAGAAACTTGAGACAAGACACCCCTGGAGGGGTGGGTGCTTGGTGAAGTACATTTAGATGCCCCCCTCCCACACTGGAGTGCCTGATTTGAGTCTCTGGGAAGCAGCAGATAACAGCTCCAGCACCTGGGTCCCTACCACTCATAGGGGCAATCCTGATGAGGTGCCAGGCTTCAGGCTTTAGCTTGGTCAAAGCACCAGGTGTTCTTGGCATTCAGAGGGAACCAACAGATGGAAGATTCATTCTCTCTCTGCCTTCCAAAAAAAAAAAAATGATAGTGGATACATTTTTAAAATTTTATTTAAAAAAAGAAAACTGTGATGATCTGGTCCTGCTCTGGCCCATGAGTCCTGCTCCCTGGACAGGCAGACGCTGTCAGACCAAGCCAGGCATGATCCCGGGCAACCTGTCCTTGCTGTTCCGGCCCCGCCATCACTAGAGCTGTTTTATGAAAACATACAAGCAGCAGTGACTCCCTGGCCACCGTGTCCTCCCTAAGGCCATCTCTAAGACAGGAGAGAGGTGACCTGAGGGATGGTGAGTGAGGAATCCCTGTGCAAATCGCTGCTGACCAAGAAGGCCTGGGCTGCACACCATGGGCAGTGGGATCATTTAATCATGGGATTCTTTCCAAAGTGATTTTCCAACACACAAGGAATCCTTATTCTGTCACAAAATCAGAGTGCTGGCTCTCCTGTTGCTGTCTGCACACCCCAAGTGGTTTCACAGGGGCAGCTGCACCTGGCTCTTCTCATCCTGCTCGCCCCATTTGACCCGTGCACCTATGAAGTTCTCCAGAGAAACCTGAGAGCCTCACTCAGTGTGTGATGGGCAAGTGTGTGTGCAGTGGGCAGGCAGGCTAGAGAGCCCAAATGGTGGGGACAGGCGTGGGAAGGGAGCACCTACTGAAATACACCTGAAGCCCAAAGCTGCACTTACATCTATCAGATTAAAGAAGTCAGCCTACCCCTTCATTGTTCCTTGTCTCCACACACCTATCTCTTGGGGGCGGGGGGGGGGACGACAATTCTAGCAAAGTATAAAGACTAGTAAAACGCATCTTGGAATTGACAACTACTCTCAAGTTGACCTCAGCCTTTTCTTTTCTTTCTTTTTTTTGAAGATTTATTTATTTATTAGAAAGTCAGATATGCAGAGAGGAGGAGAGACAGAGAGGAAGATCTTCCGTCCGATGATTCACTCCCCAAGTGAGCGATGCCGATCCCAAGCCAGGATCCAGGTACTTCTTCTGGATCTCCCACAAGGGTGCAGGATCCCAAAGCTTTGGGCCGTCCTCGACTGCTTTCCCAGGCCACAAGCAAGAAGCTGGATGGGCAGTGGAGCTCCTGGGATTAGAACCGGCACCCATATGGGATCCCAGTGCATTCAAGGGGAGGACTTTAGCCGCTAGGCCACACCGCCAGGCCCAACCTCAGCCTTTTCTTATCAGGAAATTAATTGATGAGTAAATGACCTTTTCCTGTCTTCCCTGGGCATGGGTATTTCCTTCCATCCCCACAGTAAGGATGACATCGATGTTTCCTTCTTACTCTTAGTAGTAAGTATTCACAAGCATACTTTGGTTTCATGGAACTGGATGTGCTTATGCACTCTGTGCATTTCTAACTTGTAGACTAGTTACCCAGGCTGTGCACTGTGCAGCCCAAGGCTCCTTTTCCACGGATGGTGACAGCGGTCCCTTGGGGTGTGCAGGAAGGCAGCCCCAAACTCAGAAGCACGTTGATACATTGCAGACACTGAATTTAGTAATAATCCCCCACAGTCATTCACTGTGTCACTGGGCCACACTTTATTTCTCCAATTCCTTAGTGCAGAACTCCATTCCACTCATTAGTGAACATCCTTAAAAGTGTTCTCTTGGGACCAGCGCTGGGAGTAGTGGTTAAAGCTACCACTTGCAACACCAGCATCTTATTTGGGTACCATTTGTGTCCTGGCTCCTTCACTTTTTTCTTTTATTTTTATCAGAAACTCATATTTACAGAGAGGAAGATCTTCTATCCACTGGTTCACTCTCCAAGTGGCCACAACTGCTGGAGATGAGCCAACCCAAAGCCAGGAGCCAGGAGCCAGGAGCTTCCTCCGGGACTCCCATGCAGGTGCAGGGTCCCAAGGTTTTGACCCATCCTCTACCACTTTCCCAGGCCACAGGCAGGGAGCTGGATGGGAGAGTGGAGCATCCGGGACAGAAACTGGCACTCATATGGGATGCCGCATTTGGAGGTGGATGATTAGCCAGCTGAGCCATTGTGCCAGCCCCTGGATACCTCATTTTTGATCCAGCTCCCTGCTGATGAGCCCAAGATAAGCAGCTGAAGATGGATCAAGTGCTTGGGCCCTTGCCACCTATATTGGAGACTGGATGAAGCTCCTCTGGCCCAGCCTGGCCATTGTGGCCATGTGGGGAGCGAACTAACAGATGAAAAATCTCTGTTCCTCCTCTCTCTGTTAGTCTTCAAACACATAAATACATCTTAGAAAACAAACAAAAAATGCTTTCCTATGAACACATTTCCCTGAGAAATATGCATTCTTTAGCCTGATTTCACTGTGACCTGAACCCCATAAGAAAAAGCGAAACGAGGTAAAACTTTAAATATTTATTAGTATGAATCAGTGTGTTAAACCAAAAATAACAGATACGATTAGGTGTAGCTGAGAGAAAGGCTTTACTGCAGGTTCGAATACAATGAGCAAAGGCCTAGCTGTCTGCGGTGGTATCTTCTAGATGCAAAACCTGGGTCCAGCCCAGGTGGCAGGCAGTCTTTTGCAAAAATACATGAAAAGGGAGCAGACTGCATGACAGGGCACCGAGGCTGGCTCGCACGGACGGCTTCAACAATGACGCTTCAGGAGCCAACCAGACACTGCCGAGGTGTGAGGACAGCTCAGGGCCCTTGAACTTGCAAGCTGGCTCATCCTGCCACCCGCCACGAGCATGGCCCACATACCGGAGCTCAGGTTCAGCCATCACACGCCATGGTCCTTGTCCCAAGGGAAAGAAGTTTGGTCTCCTGAACCTCCCTCGGTTCTCATAGCGGGGCACAGCCCTTTTGCATTAGCTAAAAGTTAGTTTCAGGTCTTCAACCTCTTGGTCTGTAAGGTGACGTCATCACCAGCACCCTAATGCACCATTTTTCACTGGCAAATGACCAATCAGTCAAGTACCTATGTCAAAGGTTCGACTGCATGACTCCACTGCCATCTCAGGGATGGGAAGCCCTCCCGCTGAGGACCCATGCCTGCCTCACAGAACACATTGCCAGGAACCAGTGTGAAATGCACAATGGGTCGGCATCATCGATACAAAACCGTATTTACATATATGCACATCCATAACACACATGAAGAAACAGTAAACCAAAACAGGAGCGCATTTTGGAAAATGATGTCAAGACTGCAGGATCATAGACAAGCATGTGACATTCTGGAACAATGGTGATTTCCAGGCCTTCTTGTAATATTACATGGCTATGGCTCAACTACTAGGCCAGGCAACAAGCCACCCAAGTCAAATCAAAGGAAGGTATGAAGCCTCACTGTGGACAAGGGCCAAGCATCCATCTTCAGAGAAGACTCACTGTGTCTGGGAACATCTGTGTGTGGAGAACACTCCACCCTTGGGCTGACCGCTCCAAGTGGCAAGGACACTTATTGTTTTTGGGGTTCTCTTACTGGCTTTGATAGTGACGGCAACCGTCACAGGCAAAAGGAGTAGTTTCACTCCCTCATGTACTTCCCAAACAAAGCATGGGCTCCCTGGCGGGTAGCTTGTCACATGGAGATAATACTGGGGTTGTTACATAAAACACAACTGCTGTACACTTTCTGCTGTGTGCTTGCCACCTTGGTCAGGACACCTGAGCACGTGCCCAGAGACACACTGGTTTCCAGAAAAACAAGCTGACATGTCACCTGCAAAGCAGTCATTCCAATTTTCAACTCTAAACAGGATTGGTTGGTTGGTTGGTTTTGCCTTGGGCAAGAGGTATGGTTATTTGTTGACCTGCAAGCAGAACTGTGCCAGCCAGTCATGTTGGCAGTGTAGTCATGTTGGCAGTGTACGGAAAAAAAAAAAAACCCACATGCTAACAGTTCTGGAGGTGACTGACTGGGAGCCCAGTGGTACTCTTGGACCAAAAATAAAGGACCTGCTAGCCTTTACCTGCTGAGATTGTCAACCAAGCCTCAGGAGTCGGGGGAAGCCAGCAAGAACATTCAACCAACAACACGGTATCAGGTCAAAACACACAAATCTGTGATTTGAACCTGGCCCTCTTTGCTTGATGATGGTCAGCAAAAAACAAAGTGTACACTTGGCCCTGATCTCTCCCAGTACCATCCTCTGTTGGTAACATGACTCAGTAACTCCTGCCTGCCAAGGGTTTGGTGCGCACAGCAGGACTCCACAGTTCTGGCTCAGTCCGAATAACTCAAAGTTCAAGGTCTTTAAAACATGCACCTGGTCCCTTTCCTGACTGCTGCACTGTGAATTATTGATAAAGTGGCACCATCCGACTCTCCTCTCCCCACCTCGCATCAAGTGCTGCTGGCCCCTTTTGAACCTGTGCTCAGGCAGTGCTCTTGGCCCTACAAGACACTAGTTGAACCCTTCACCCTTCAACAACCACCCCTTCACACAAGCCTTGCTTCTCTTGGTCCCAAGTTTGTAGGAAAGTTGTAGAGGGCACTGGGGTTTGACTCTTCTGTGGAATTAGCTTTCCTTGCTTTCCTGGTTTTGGTCTCCTTGCTTCTTCGATTCAGTCTCTCATTAACTCTGCAAAGGATGGTGCTGTTCAAGGCCTAGTCTCGGCTCACCTGCAGCCCAGCACTGGACCTCCCCAAGCCTAACATTCCAAGTGGTCTCCCTCAGCCCAACTGTAGAGTCTAGAATGTTGAGACACTTGTACCTCATCTGGCTGGCTCTGCTGTGATCAACCATCATTGTTGGAAATCCGCTTTGCAATTTACACTCAAGTGTCCACCATTTAATTTGAACCCTTAGAACATCATGACATCTCTGTTACAAGGATACTCTGCACTATACTGAGGATTTATGACAAGGTGGTGACATGTACCAGGTGATCCTCTAAATGATGCTTACACCCTCCACCCATCACCCATCACCGTGGGCATGGTTACCACTTGACCTTCCAACCCATCCCCGAGATAATTTGCAATAAGGCGGGCAGCTTTGGTCTGCCTGTTCATATGTGATCGACATGCCGAAGAATGGTCCCCAGCGAAAAGAGATGCCGGCATTTTCCAATGTACACTGTGCAGGAGCTCAGCTTGAGAGATGGTGCGGTGCTGCCCCAATTTCCATCAGCAACGTAATCAATAAACACTTGTTCCACAGCCAGCTGCAAACCAGCCTTCCCAATGAAGTGTCCTTCGGGGAAGACAATGACAGTGAAGAAGCTACTGAAATTTGGCGGGGAACCCAGGAGTCAGAGGGGGAGGACACGTCTGAGGGTACCCTCCCCCGATTAAGGCAGTTTAAGACTTGGGTGCAAAACCAAGAGTGCTTTCAGGTGTCTACCAGAAACCACAGCTCTACTTCTTATCTTGTAAGTACCATCCCTCGAAGGCCATTTTGTGGCAGTGTCGTGAGTTTTCCTGGAGGTTTCTACATGCTCTTGAAGGCACATGTCTTGCCCCAGCTCCCTGCAGTACTTCCAGGAAGCAAGGCCGGCGTCTACTCTTCTTTAGGACTGAGGGCTGGGGCATCAGCGGTGCCTGGGATGTGGGCTCCAGCTTCCTCCACCATTGCGCCCTGGGTCAGCAGCACCTGCGGCCAGCCTGCGCCGTGTGCTTCCCAAGCTTGATGGCCCCACTGGTTCCATTCTCGTGCGGGTCCAGGGGTGGGATCTGGCGGCCTGGAACACAAAGGAGGCCCTGGTTGAGTCCACTTTCCCCCACAAACACTGCGATGAGTCACCTCTGCTTCGACATGCCCAGCTAATGTGTGACCACACAGGAAACACTTGACACTGTGGTGGGATGCCCACATCCGATACCAGAGTTACCTGGATTCGAACCCAGGCTTGGCTCCTGACTGACTCTAGCCTCCTGTTAAGACAACACACTCTGAGATAGCAACAATGGCTCCAGGAATTGGGTCCCTGGCAACCACAATGGAGACTTGAAGTGAATTATGGCTTCTTCTGGCTCAGCTCTGGCTGTTGCCAGCATTCGGGGAGTGAATCGGGGAATACAAGATCCGCTCCTACCCCCTCTGCTCTTCAAAAACAACATAACAATGAAGCAACTTCAGTGAAGGCTCTCTTCTGCTTCCCTTCTCCCTCCTTTTCCTTGCTGTCCTGTTGCATGGTTGCATTCCTGTTTAGAAAGTGAAGCAACAGTACAAGGAGCTTCTTTAAAAAATCATCTATTTATTTATCTGACAAGTCAGAGTGACAGAGAGAGATGGAGAGATAGATAGAGAAAAGGAGGAGGGTGGGAGAGAGAGAGATGTCCATTGGTTTACTCTTCAAATGCCCACAGCAGCTTGGGGCTAGACCAGGCTGGGGCCCAGAGCCAGGAACTCCCTCCAGGTCTGCAACCTGAGTGGCAGGGCACACAGTCCTGGGGCCATCCTCCGCTGCTTCCTTGGTGCGTCAGCAGGAAGCTGGATCCGAAGAGAAGCCAGACCTCCAACCCTTACAAAGAGAGTGCACACGGGGTCCTAGGAGGCAGTTGATCACCTGCTGGGCTAACCATCCATGGCCCACAGCTTCTCACCAACGTCTTAGGAGGAGAATGGGGAAGACCTGTCCAGGGGCAGGGTCAGGAGGCAGGCATCACCTGGCTCTTTCCTCCAGATCCTTAGTAAATGTTGAGATTCTTCCATATTTGCTGCTTCTTAAATTAGAAGTGGGTGGGGAACTGCGAGCCTCCAGGAAGCATGGTTTATCCACACTGGGATCACCACCCTGAGCCTGCACACGAGCATACACAGCCTTATGGACCACTCAGTATGAAGGATGGTTCCTTCACAGCACAGGCTACTGCACAAAGCACCCCAAATCACGTTTACACACAAGACATTCTTTAAGTAATGTGACCCGAGGGCAGTGAAGGCCTGGACGGGCTGGGGCACCAGCCACGTTTCCTCATCCTACCCCTTGGGCTCCCTTCTCTGCCTCTCGATTCTTTCTAAGAAAACAAGAAGCAGCAATGTTTGGGATGCCAAGTTGTACACAACCTGATTCGCTCCCAGACAAATTCCTTGCTTGTGTGTTGCAAACCTATACTCTAAAGTGTTTAATTGTTTTTCATTGGCAAGGCAAAGCGACTGCCCATCTGCTGCCTCACCTCCCCCCACTCCAGCCGGGGGGGGGGGGGAGCCACAAGTCAATCCATATCCCTACCACCCGGGGTGGCAGGGGCCCAGCTACTAAAGGGCGCGCAGCCCAAGCAGGCCCTCATCACCTGTGCCAAACACTGACACATTTCCAATCATCTGTGAACCTGGCTTCTTTGAGGTCCCAGGTTCTTCAACCTTCAGAAAATTGAATCTTGCTGACTGAGAGAAAGTATTTCTCAGACACAGAATGGCTGCAGTTTCCTCGGATTTCATTTTTCTCATGGAGTCGAGATTTGAGAGTCTTTACTGCAATGAACTGGACTTGGACAAGTTCTTTGAAAATCTCAGACCCTTCCTTTCTGCCCCTTTGAAAGAACAGGAGGGAGCAGTCTGACAACTCCTGCATGACACTATGCGGGCACTTCAAAAAGCTCGCCAGAAAAGTAGAATGAAAAATATTCATTTTCGTGCAAAATTTTGAAATTTGTAATCTATACGTAGTTTTTCCATAATATGCACTTTCCATAAACTAGAACATTCCATCATTGTCAGTAATTTCAAGAGTGTTGTTCCAAAGAAAGGTCTTTTCGTACCATTTTCCACGAACTTTCTGAAGTGTCCTCAAGTAGGGTATTCTTTCCTTGTTAACATTCATTTTATTTATTTGAAAAGCAGAGTTGCAGGGAGAGAGAGAGTGAGCTTTCATCTGTTGCTTCACTCCCCTGCCCCCCCCCCCCCCCCCCCCGCCCAAATGGACACAATGGCTGAGCTGAGCTAGGCTGAAGCCAGGAGCCCAGGAGGCAGCCATTCTTCTCTGCACTGCCAGGCACATTATCAGGAAGCTAGAGTAAAGTAAAGTAGTCAGGACTTGAACCCTTGCCATGATGCGGGAGGCCTGTGTGGCAGGGGTGGCTTAACCTGTGCCACAACACCAGTCGCCACCTATGGCCCTAATGGCAACAAAGGTGCAGGGCACGTGTCCCTGGTTTTTGCATGGGGAGCAATGCCTCCGGGTTCATAAACTGGGTCAGGGTTAACGCTCAGGGTTCAGCCGGTGAGATGGGGCACATGGCATCCAGCCCAGGATGAGTCAGGACTTCAGAGAGACAGAGAGGCAAGGAAGTCCTTCCACGGGGAGAGGACAGTCAAACCCTAACAAGGAGGGGACACGGCCTGAAACGCAGAAGGAAGCAAACAGCTCTATGACAACAGAACAAGAGCTCTGAGTTGGTGACCCAGTGTACGCACAACTTAGAGACAGGTTAGCGTGCAGAGACAAAAGCAGGGATGGGAAACAGCCACGAATCGTGCACCAAGGCACTGGAGCCCAGCTCAGTCTGTGTACTTTACATGGGTGCAGGGCAGGACAAACAGACACAGAACAACATCTGCCAGGGCTCGCCCCATCCCCTGCATGCCTCTACCCTGCCAGCACGTCCTCCCGGCACACAGCCTCCGTAACAACTTGTTCCTGAACATGCACTCTGGGCCGGAGTGTTTATCTAGCAGGGTTTGGCTTGTGCCTGATTCTGTTTGCCAGAGGTTTAAAAAGACTGTTTTTCTAAGTCGGGTTTTCCTCAATGCTGAGTCTGGAGAAAGAGCAGGTTTCTAAGCGAGTCCTCAAGAATGCAGTGTGTGAAAATGCACTCCAAGGCAATAAATGCCAGCGGGTGACTGACTGCTCGCTGGGCTGGGCCGGAAGGGGCTCGCTCACTCCCAAGAGTATCCCGGGGGGGCTGCGGGCTTTCCCAGGGGGTCACAGGAGTGGCTTTCGCATGTGCTCAGGCTCCTACTCCACAAATCCTCTCTGTGTGTGCCTCTGCCCTTTGACCTCATCCTTCGCTCGGCTCTCCCTTGTTTGGTTTCTGTGGTGTTGGCAGCTGCTGTCCAACTCCATTTGTTCATTCCAATTTGCTGAATCATCCAGGTGGGTAAACTGACCATGTCTGTTCTCCAGGACTGGGCAGCACTGATTCTGCAAAAGACCATCCAAGGCCATCTGTTCTGAAAGGTGAGGGGATCCTGGAGGGGCACAGCAGGACCTTTGGGACACAGGACAGTAGGGGCACACGTGACACCGGGTTACTCCCCATGACCGTCCTCTGCTGCCACGTGGAGGACATGATCAGAATGGCTGTAAGACCTGGGGAGCTGGATGGACAGCGTGGATGTGAGTGGACCCAAAGCACTGCCATGAACTGGAGCCAGGAAGGCAGGGGGCCTGCAGGAAACCCCTGGCACAGACAGGACAACCTTGATATGTACACCAAGGGTGAGCAGGGAGGAGGAGCTCTAGGAGAACATGGGGCAAAATGTAGGCATGACTGGAACCAGGGTCAAGATGGACATCACTCCCAAACCAAACCAACCAAACCAAACCAACCAACCAACCAACCAAACCAAAGCAACCAACCCAATCAAACCAAGCTAACCAAACCAACCAGCCCAAACCAACCCAACCCAACCCAACCAAACCAAACCCCTGCCATTCAAAGTCTGGGAAGCTACAGGAATAGTAATGCCACCACTAGTTGGTGAGGCAGGGCCTGGTCACCACAGCCTGCTGTTCTAAAATGCCAGTGTCTTCAGTAACAGGAATGAAGAGGTTTAAATCATCAAGTTTTGGTGCAGCAGGTTAAGTTGCTAACTGTAGTGCTGGCATCCAGAATGTGGCTGGTCCTAGTCCTGGCTGTCCCACTTCAGATCCAGCTCCTTACCAATGCACCTGGGAAAGCAACAGAGGATGGTTCAGGTCCTTGGGCCCTACCTGGAAGAAGCTCCAGGCTCCGGGCTCCAGGCTTTGGACCTTCCTAGTCTCCACCATTTGGAGGCTGAGAAAACAGATGAAGAGTTCGCTCTGTCTCTCTGAACTGACTAAAGTCAGTTTTTAAAAGCAACAGGTTTCCTTGTCATTCAGAGGCATCATTTTTCTTCTCTTTTTTATGGACACAATTTTATCATTTATTTGCTTTGAGTAGTTTTTGGTTTGCAGGGAAAAAGCTGAGTGAAAAATATAGCTCTTGCCCCTTATCTCCAATTTCTATTTTTAAAAGATTCATTTATTTATATACTTACTTATTGGAAAGGCAGAGTATACAAAAAAGGACAAAAGGGCGTGGCCTGGTAGCCTACCGGCTAAAGTTCTCACCTTGCATGTACTGGGATTCCGTTTGGACGCTGGTTCATATCCTGGCTGTTCCTCCTCCCATCCAGCTCCCTGCCTGTGGCCTGGGAAGCAGTCGAGGACGGCCCAAAGCCTTGGGACCCTGCACCCCTGTGTGATTCCCAGAGGAAGTTCCTGGCTCCTGGCTTTGAATCAGCTCAGCTCCTGCCATTGCAGCCTCTTAGGGAGTGACCCAGCAGATGGAAGATCTTTCTTTCTGTCTCTCCTTCTCTCTGTAAATCTTACTTTCCAATAAAAAGAAAAAATCTTGAAAAATCAAAAAGGATGCAAGAGAGAGAGAGAGACCTTTCACTTGCTGGTTTCATTCCTGAAATGACGGCAATGGCTAGGGATAGGTAGGCCAGGCTGCAGCCAGGAGCCAGCAGCCCTAACCCGATCCTACATGA